ACACTAAAAGCTTGCCAAAAATGCTTCCTTATGAATGCACGAAGAATGCTCTGAGAAAAGGAACAGAAAACAAACTCCCCAGTGAAAGGGTCTTTTTTTTTCCTTTAAATGAGGCTGAAGTGTCTGAGCCATAAAGAACCCTGCAAAACCTGCAGATTTTCTGTAGGCTCTGAGGGGCTGTGTCCTTGTGGAATTAGTACCAGTTTGGAAAAGCAGAAAACAAAGACCTCTGGAACTGGGCAGGCAAAGCTGCCTGGAATTGTGTCCACTACAGCCAGAGCAGAGCCCGTGCCCGTGGCAGGCCAGGTCTGCTCCAGCAAACCTGCACCAGAGCTGCCACCTCTGCTTCCTCCTTCCCCAAAGCCGTCAGGCTGCCCCCCAGCCCGTGTCCTCTTCCAGTTCTCCAGCCCTGCTGAGTGAGCAGAACTGACTGGACACAGGGCCAGGCACCTTTCTGAGCCAGCAGAGCGAGCCATGTGGGATTAAAGGTGGATTTCCTGTGTCAGGATAATTAAGAGTGATGCTGTGACCAGATTGTGACTCTGATGGGCTGTAAAAGCATAAACTCTGACATTGCTGAGATGACATGGAACGGGGGCTTAAAACCTGCTGCATGGGCACAATAATGGGAAGCTCAGTGAAAAGAGAGGTAATCCCATCAATGGATCAGTCTGTTTACCCTCCGGGTCCCACTCCAGCCCTGCCCAAAGGGATTTGGGTGTCACCAGCAGCCCTGCTCACCAGGGAAGGGTTACAGAGGGTGGGCTGGAAAGGGAAAGGTCGTTTGAATTTGCTCTTTGCCTCGTGGTCAGTTGTGCCAGATGGGGTTTTGTGCTGACCAGAAACCTGAGTTTGCTTCCCTGGCCTCTCCCTCCTGGCAACACACGGAGCCATGGGAAGGGGCATCCAGGGCAACCTCCTGGCAGTGCCGTGGAGGGAGGCTGCTGTCCCTTCCAGGAGATCTGTCCTGGTTGTCCTGGCAGAGTTCAGTGGGGAATAACACAGGGTTCCTTGCTTCTGCACTGTGGGTTTTCTGCTTCCCTGGTAAGTGGATGAAAATAGCCCGGACGGGACAGCGAGTGCTGCGAGTGAACGAACCGTGGCACCAGGAAGGAGGGGATGACAGCATTGGTTTGGCAAATCAAATGTAATATAATCAAATGAAATAACAAGCTCTTCTCTCAGCTCAGCAGTCCTCTGCTTGTTCTCCCTGTCCTGGTGTGGGGTGAGCTGCCCCACAGCACGCAGAGATGTCACTCCGAGCCCAGCAGAGACCTTTGGTGTTTGTCCTCAAGGGCACAGGACTGAGATCCGTGGAGATGAAAGGGAAGACTGAGGGCTGTGTGACTTCCCCTGCAGATGTTTTGTTTCCTATTTTCAGCAACAGCTCCAGGCATACGTGGCCTGGGTGAATTCCCAGCTGAAGAAGAAGCCAACGGTGAAGCCAGTCCAGGACCTGAGACAGGATCTGCGGGATGGAGTCACTCTGGCTCTGCTCATTGAGATTGTAGGTCAGTGATGACATCTGGCACTGTTTTTCCTCCTGCAGTCCTGGCTCTGGCGTGGCAGGGGCTGCCTGGGCTCTGGCAGATGTTACTGATGGGGTCACAGCTTGAGGGGCTGGGGGAGGGACTGCCAAAGGAAGCAATCACCCAGCAGATCATAAATGCAATCCCATCCCAGTCCTTATGTTTTAGGGGCAGTTACAACAGATGTGCTAAAACCTCTCAGGGGCTATATGGACTCCCACAATGCTGGCACCTTAAAATAAACCCAGTACAGCCTCCAACCCCATTATCCCTGGTGCTGGGTACCGTGTAAGCAGGACAAGAAGCCACGTGTGCCTCCTGCAGTGCCCAGACAAGAGATCAGATCAGTCCCTGCACCTCCAGCAGCTCCTTTGATGGTACCAGGTGCTTCAGTTCCCCTCTGAAAAAGCTTTTTCCCTCCTTTAGCTGGTGAGAAGCTCAGTGGCATCGAGGCCAACCCCACCAGCCAGCAGGAGATGAGGGAAAATGTGGAGAAAGTCTTACAGTTTGTGGCATCCAAGAAGATCCGCATGCACCAGACATCAGCTAAAGGTACCCGGCCCTGGGGGGGCACAGAGGGGTTGGGCTGCTGAAAGCCTGTTCCTTGTTTTATATCAAACTGATAATGTGTTAGTAGATTAATGTATTAGTTTGTGGGGGAGTTTTGGGGTTTTATCTCCTGTGGTTCAGTAGAGGGTTTGGGTTGAAGGACAGTGGTAGCAGCACAGTGCACTCAAAAAAAAAGAATAAAAGTGCCTTTTCTCCTGCTACTGAGCACTCAGAAGCTCAGATATTGGTGTAATGAGGAATACAGACCCAGAATCTTTCACTAAAAGGACGTATAAACCTGCTACTGTGAAACAAGACATGGGAACATATTTCTGGTTCACTGGCAGCCCAGGGCACTGCTCTGCACGGCCTGTAAATAAGGAGGAGACCCAATGCACAGTCACATGGCTGTGGCACAGTTTAGTCAGGACTTTGTGTGCCTCAGTTGACTGCACTGTTTTGGAAAACCTTAGTCTGAAAGAGTGGCTGAGCTTTGCCATGAGATCAGTGTGCCTGAGCTGGTTTAGAGGCTGGGGGAGTGCCCGGTGTGGTGTTATTAAAGCTGGCTAATTAACATTTGCAAGGTGCTGCCAGTGTTTGTGGTACAGGATGCCAGCACTGAGGAAACACGTTGCTGTTCTTTGGTCCTGTGTGTTTTAAAGAAAGGAAATTCTGTGTGCTGGGACAGTGGTCAGGCTGCAGTGGGTGCCGTGCTTTCCCAGGGAGCACTCAGTAATTATGAGCTGCATCATTAGCTGGGAATGGCCACGCAGGGAGGGCTCAAAGCATTAAACCTGCGGTGGGTGGGGGGCACAGGCAGTTTG